AGCCGCACGTTGTAGCGCACGTCGTTTTGCTGCACGTGGAACATTTCGTCGGCAGCAAGATAGGCGCAAGAAGACGCGGGCCTTGATTAACGATAGTGCGGTTTTGTATCGCCGCTTTATTAGAAACTATTTGTAACTCGGGACTTGGCAAGGTGCGCGCGTTCAAGAGAGGTGCGCTTGCCACTTTGCAGCCACTTCGGGAAAAACCCGGTGACGTGCTTCGAGTGCCCCGGTAAGACTTTCGCGGCACCCTTTTTCTCTCGCTGTCTCCGCCCGCTCCTCTCCTCACCATGACCCGAAGCATAATTAATGGTACACCCGCTATATAGAACATTAATGTCGAAGCAACCGATTTACTTATGTCAAGTACTCTTGTCCGTCCAAGGCCGTGAAAGCTGACGATTTGCGGCTAAGAAAGATGAAGACTTCGACTTCGATGGCCGGTCGAGAAAGAAACGATCGATCTCGCTCCTTCTTTTCCCGATATATAATTCCATTTCGTGAGAGCACATGCACACGCAATAATATCTCAAGCTTTAACGCTCACGTTTTCTGGAAAGTGGAGCACCACGTTAACGTAGTCGTTCTGCATCGGCATCGAACGGGGGAAACAAAGATGGAAGTGATTAACATTTCTTTTAAGAAAATAGGTTTCTCATAAATGGGAAAAACAATTTTTCGAGCGGGCGCGCTCATCATTTCATTCACGTCGGCTTGCGGGATTTGGCCAATTTAATTTTATTTACGTCGAAACTCGCGCGATTTGGGACGATCGGCTCGAAAAGCGGGTAATTCGATTTACCGTATCGTTAGTCCAGAATCCCGAGGACGCTACCAATTTCCATGTCAAAGCAAAACGAGAAGCGGCTCTTCTCGCCGTGGAGAACGCACGCGTGCGTGTGCGCGCACGCACGGATACACACACGCTTTTACGGACATCATAAACAGGTCATAGATGCCTTACGGACATTTACTAAATGTTCTGCAGACATTCTTGACAAGAAGATACAAGAAGATACATCGTACTTAAATAATCGCGTAAAAAAAGAGACGAGCGAGACGCGCTAATCGCCATTTAATTTCAATCAGCTCTCATTATTGCCTCTGTAAGATGTAACGTCCGGCAGGACGTTAATAGTCAGTTATCGATCACCTCTTATTGTACAACACATACAATCGAAATATACATATTTACAGGGTGTAAACACGGCGCGATCGATTCAACAAGTAATCGTCCAATAAATCAAGACACTTGTGTTCGCCACATATGCCTCTTGTAAAATAAATACATTTCTATGATTAATTATCGTTCCGAGTAATCCCGTGAAAGAGGCGCAATTTTTCAGCGCTTTTTTTAAGCGCGCGCACGCACACACACACACACACACACACACACACACACACACACAGAGCGTACGTCCGTAGATCGACTATCACGTCTATCCTGTAAATTGTCCGTCCGATAAGGTGCGAGGAAGCGAAAATTAAACGTGGTTCTGGAAACGAGATTGCTTCTTGAGAGAAAGCTCGCAGCCAGCCAGGCCAGGAGTCTCCCTCGTTCTCCCCTCGGAGAAAAGCGAACGACTTTTCCCGAAGTGACCCGCGCCATCGGCTTTATCGATAACGACCTATTATCGCGGGCGCAGTCACCAGATGCACACACCTATTCAACCACATTCTACTTTTCGTCTCGTAAATAATCGACGAGCGACGATAATAGTGCTGGCAAGCTAGTGACAGTAGACTATACTGGGATCAATAGCGCGAAATTCGTTGCGTATTCCGCGAACAAAAACCACGCGAAACCGGCGCGTTGGCGCGTCATTATTTCCGCCTGGTGCATCGTAGACGCGCATCGGACGTATGCATGCGGCGTGCCGGCGTAATGATTCCTCAAGCGAAAAATCGCTCGACAATCGCGTCTGTCTGACGAAAAACAGGGACAGACTCGTGTCTTCGGTCACACGACTAATGATCACGTCAAACGAAGCGGAAAGACGGCGCTACCTCGTCTCTTAGCGCGCATCATCGATAATTTGAAAATTCTACCGACCTCCCGTTCCTTTCCGTTCAGACCTCGCTCGCTTATACTTTGCGAAAGCACGTCGGTGTTGAAACTTGAAAATTATTTAAAAAATAAACTCACATGGACGCTTAACGCCACTTAAAGCCCGAAGGATACACGAAAATATAGCATTTTATTCGAGCGATCCAATTTTTGTCTGTCTGCAATTTTGACGTCTGGCCATGTATATTCATTTGAATAAGCCTTCGGCTGTATCCGGCGAACGGCATCGGAAGTTAACTTAATGTAAACCACGAGAGGAGATACATTTGGTGAGAAATCAAGAGTCTCCGCGTGTCTCTCCTTCCTCCACGCGAGAGCGACCAAAGCGAGCGAAAGTATCTGGTGGAAAATATCGCAGTATCTGCAAGCACGGCACAGGTGGCCTTCGCCAAGTCGATCCCCTATCAGAAGGAAAATCGTCGCTTCGCGATATACAAGACGAGCGACTTTGATCGCGGATTAATCGAACGGCCGCGATAACGGAGGCTTCCCAACGTCGGTCGACGCGGCGCCTGGATCGAGATAGCCCGTGAGAGATCCCGACGGGCCTAATAGCGCGTTCCCGGTAATCGTCGATAAAACGGCATACCGGTCGACAGGAAATACGAAACGCGACCGTAAAAACGTGCCTTTTACGTCCCCGTTTACGATTTGCGCGTCTCAGAAATACGTACGTCTCGCTACCGTAATTATGCAAATATACCGTGCGGCCGCACGGCCGTGTACACACGCGCGCGGCTGCTTCCACGTTCATAAACCTGAGAAGCGATCGCGAAAAGTAACGCCGTTAGCCGTGCGTTTCCGGTCCGGAAGAGAACGTTACGAAATATTTCTAATGCAAATATAGAATATGTGTACATATTCGATTTGACCGATATATAAAAAAATTTAGCCAGACGCAGATCTGAAAATAATTTTATTGGAGATAATTTTTTTATTGGAACATAATTTTATTGAATCATTAAAATAATTATGTAGAAGCATGATGATAATGCTGCAAAAATTTTATGTATTCCAGCAACTTGAATATTCTATGTAATTATTTTCATGAGCCGGTAAAATTATTTGCAGATCTGCAGTCAAATTTTTATCAGCTGTGTCAATATAAATTACTCTTTTCCTGTATTGATGTAATTATACGCGCACATATACATATGTATGTATGTATGTATGTATGTATGTATGTATGTATGTGTGCACGGATATACGTACGCATACAACTAGCGAGTATATGTGCTATATGGGTAAGTCTGGCAAGGGCAGAAAAGCGCATGGTTGGCCATACGTATGCCGCATTCACTTTACGTGACATGTGTTATAAATTAAAATTGCAAATGCTTCCATTTTTAAATACGCACTTATATAAGCTAATGGTAAAACGAAACTGCGTTATGTAGCGATATCTTGTACGATCGATAATAAGAGAATAAGAGCTTCGGAAATTTTCAACGTACATGGTCAAAGAGATAATATAATAGAAATCAGCGAGTATTACCAATTAATATGTAAACTTCTTTCAGCTTGCATCTGTTCTTTTTAGATTGTAGTTTTACATCTTTGAAGATATTTTAAAATTTTAATATTTTTTCTAAAATCGAAATAAATTTTAAAATATCTTTTTTTTTTTAAATAAAAATCCCATGAGAGAATCACGCGAGTGTCATTTAAAATTATCACAAATATATTATTATTAATTTACTAATGTAATTGAATTTTACATCACATGATACTCGAATATTATGCGGGAATCGATTTTTTTATGGCAATTTACCGCTAGACTAAAGCTAGACGGAAAGAATGAATTTTCATGGTGCCTACGGTGCGCGATTATACGCGAATTAATTGGAAGCCTTCGTACGCAGTTTCCCAATAAGATCGACGACGCGTGCAAACCACGCATATTAACAGAGACGGAGTCACGCCGGTTACGATCCGCTGATTTTCAAAGAATGGCAAGGCACGTGTTTTTCCTTTTTTTTTTCTTTTCTCTGCTCGGGCGCCAGGCCGCGTGATGCTGTTTGTGAAAATGCAAATACGCCGTGTGTTTGCTCAAATTGCCGATCGGTGTGTGCCGTAAGTCTGCGGTCTGTTTGCATTTAACTCTCGCATCCACACTCGCGATCGCCGGTGGTATCGTCGATATCATTTCGACGTAACGTCTAAATTTGCACGCGATCCATCCGCCTCTCTGGCCGTCTCTCTAGTAATTCATGCCGTCGTTAACTCGCCGAACGCTATTATCCGAGAGCGAGTCGATTACTCGCGATCCAGCTGTCGACTTGCCGAGAATTGGATGGCGAGCGTCAATCTGAGAGCTGCCATTCGAGCAGCGGCAGAGGAAGAGAGAGGGAGAGAGAGAGAGAGAGAGAGAGCGACGCGAAGGGATCGATTCAGTAATACGAAGGGAATGCACCACTTTCCTCCACTAGCTCAGCCCCCTTCGCTCGGCGCCCGGAAAAGGGGGTCGGAACAGAGATTCTGCAACGTTGAATTCGGGATGTACAAATTGTACGCATTGTGAGCCGGCCCCTCAATTGCCCTTGAAAATCTCCCCTCTTCTAAATGGAGCGCACTCGGGAGCGCTGAAGGGTAGCTCATAAATATTTTCGTTATGCTCGAAGGAATATTCCTCGCGCTTCACGCAGGAAATGATTTACAAGTTGTGCTAAGCTCAAACAATTAACGCCGGTTAAATTCACCGACGAACGTCACAAATAATGTAATAAAATGAGCGATGCGATTTAAACGTCATAAAAAAATTCAATATAAATATAAATTATCGATAATTAAAATATAAAATATTTTTACGTCTTTTGAATTTTAAAAAGAATAAAAAGTCCTTTTCTGTTCGCCTTAAATTTCGTACAACGTTCGTACAAAATACAATTCTCCAAGAATGTAAAAGAGTCGAAAGGAGTCTCGATATACTCACGGACGAAGATGTTGCTCATCAATGTGGACGGTAGACAAAAGACAATCACGAGCACGTCGGCCACCGCGAGATTGACGATGAAGAAATTCGTGACGGTCCACATGCGTGGTGACCGGTACACCACGGCGATAACGCAACTATTGCCGATCAGGCCGACCACGAAGACGACCACGTACGCCACGCAGTAGACCGCCGACATGGCCATGCTGTGCCTGTAAAGTCGATCGGGCGCGTGCTCGATCGCCGACAGGTTCTTGCTGGCGTTGAACAACCCGTGGACCTGATCCTCCATGGTGGCACGTGGACTCGTCGTCGCGATCGCCTCCGTGATCAGATTGTTGAGATAATCGCCGAGGTCGTTCCTCATCTGGAGCAGAGTGCCGGTACCCGGCGGCCCGGTCGCGACTGTCGTGGCCGGCACGTTGCCGTTATTACTCCTGCGCGTATCAACGTCAAACTCCTCCGAGTCCGGTAGTCGCAGAGACGCCATCTCCAGGAGGGGAGACGGTGGCTGCAGCATCGGAAACTTGAGCGTGAAGTGGCGGATCGACGTTTCGACCATTAGCCGAAACGTTAGCGCGGCGTACCGCCGTCACCTCCACCGTCGTTTCTCCTCCTTGGCGTGCCCGCCGTTGTGTCGACGACCCCGGCCAACCTCGACGCCTACGCGACTTTCCCGTCCGGGTTACGGCGGACGATGTCGTCTCGTCTCACTCGGTGGCCTCTTCTACGGGGCCTGCCAACCCGCACCCGGGCCTCGCGTCAATCTCGGCGGCCGGTCGGAGACACACGAGAGACCCGCGGCGCGAATCCCCGCAAACCCCCCCGGTCGCCCGGATGTCGAGGGCGACGCAACGATCGTCGATGGGGAACGATCTATGCCGACGGTATGCCAGGCAGGAATGAACGAAATCGACATCAAGATCTCGGTCGGACGTTGAGAGACGAGCGCGGTTCGCACGTGTGCCAAAGTCCATTCGACCGGGATCCACTCTCCGGATCACCGGCGGAGAGCGATGGAGGATGGGGCAGACGCGATCGAGGAGGGAAAATTGAAGCGAGCAAGGTTTCGAACGAGCGGGCTAAGTGATCCGAAGGGGAGCAGGGGGGAGGGGGGGGAGAGTCGGGGCGCCGAGGAAGAGGGAAAGAAGGAGGATCGTGATGAAGTGAGGAGACTGTACGTGTGAAAAAAAACGTGTGTTCGCCGCGGTCGGGGATGCTGAGCGACTAATGGGCTTGCCTTAGAGGACGACCGCGAACTGCCGCGAGATGCACCCGTCGCGGCGGGCTGTCTGGCGGCGCTCGGCGACTGCGCAAGCGTTACATCCAGCGGCCACATGCATGCACCCGCATGCGAGCGAATGTGCTCGCGCACATTTTTCACAGCCGTGCTTCTCTTCTGGGAGACCGCCGCGGAAGTAAAACCGGCGGAGGAGGAGGGGGGGAGGAGGAAGGGGAAATAGAGAAGAGTCGCTCGGGCGACGATGACAACGCGACGCGGCTGGCCCGCATAGGGAGAGCGGTGGTCGTCGCGCGTGTTCATCCCGCCGCTGTGCGTCCTGCCGAAACACGCGCAACGAATTCGTAAAATCCCCTTCTCCCCGCGTTGGCATCGCTCGTATCGCCGACTCGGCGCCTCTCTCTCGCCGGGATTCCTTTCCCACCCTCTCGGCCAAATGTCGCCAAGAGACGTTTGCTGCCGCACGTACCAAGTGCATCGTCCACGTTTATTGCGCTTATATGTCAAACGTTTCGAAGATAAGAAAGACGATTCGCGAGAGATGACGAAAACGATAATGTACGAGGAGCGGAATTGAACTCCTCGTTCCTCGTAAAACTCATTGAATAGCGTTAAAATCCTAACAATGCGATGCTCAACAATGCGGATACCTAAAATACAGAGAGGGAAAAGAGAAGAGTTATTCTCACAGCTGTGAATATAATCTAAAGTAATAATTAACGAAGTTATAATTAAATTTTTATTGCTTGTGTAAAAAAAAAATTTGTCAGCGGAGTCAATATTTTGTGAAATTGTATGTGCGATATAAGAAAATTATATCAAGCGTGTTGAATACGTAACGAATGAATCAAATTATTCAAATGTAACAAATGAACAAGGGTGATAAAGAAACGGTAAATCTTTTTTTTTTTTACTAAGAAGAGATAGAATGAGTATCGTCGCAGAGCTGGGTATTCCATGAACATGTATATGTGCTCAAAATTTTCTGATGTGTCAGAACCAAAACTAAAATTGTAACTAGAAAGAGACACATTACATTTACACAATTTTGACGCTGTCAACACACACGTTCTCTCGCTGTACTGACATGGAGTCAGCGCCAAAACTAAAAGTGGCTGTAACTCAGAAAAGGCGTATTTCATGATATATGAATGTTTTACATCAGTCTTTTTTTAAAAGCCCTTTCAATATTTTAATTAATCAATACTCCCAAATTGACATATTTTTAACCTTTAATGATTTCACAATATCCACATTTAATATTTGATAACTCAACGAATAGTTTATTTTAAATAATTAATTATAATTTAATATATATTTGATTGATTAATATATTTGATTGATTTGTTTAATATATATTTGACATATATTCATTCAATCTTTTTATTGTTGTGTGGAATGTAAAGATTTCACAGAACTTTTCTAATATTTTTACTAGTCTTGTGTGGAAACATCTGTTCGTTACATTCCATTCTTTCCTCAAATACATGAGTCATATTAGTTTGTCTCCAGAAATATTCATATTTAAAAAGTAAAATAATTTTATGTCAAATTTTTTATATTTTATTTGTGTAATATCAAATTTAAATTATTTATTTTTCTTACTATTTTTTAATACTAATATTAAATATAATACTAAACACAAAATGTAAATAAATTTTGTAATCAAATTGATATTATTATCTTTTCTCTACGATGTTAATAACTTTACAATAAATTACGTTTTTTTTTATATTAAACATAATAGCGATTAAAATGATTATAAAAATCACATAAATACATATATATTTGATTAATTTCACGTTACTGTTGCAAGTAAAGCACACAAAAAATATAAGATAGCGAAGATACGTAATTTTAAAGGAATCTCGAAGCTCGCTTCATTGATGTTGAAATATTTCTGTAGCAGGTGTTCTTTATCTCGCGACGGAATTTCGTCGACTGAATTTCTCATGTTGGATATCTGTCTTCAAATGATGACAAGTTTCGCTTTTCTTTCCTAAACGAAACAACTGTATCGATAAACATCTCTGAATCTTATATCTTCTGCAAAGCTACAATGTTTCTTTAATTTATATTAAAATTACTACCGTGTATTGCATTATTTTTTATATTTCTAGATAATTTTTAAGTACTTTATTTTAATAATATCTATATTTTTAATCAAAATTCTATCAAGTACTTAGTTTACATTTTCGCATTAATTTACATTTTTAGTTTATGGACAATTTATAAAAGTTTGTTTTTAGTTATTTTTTACAAACGTAAAGAAATAATAAATTATGTTGAAAAAAACAAATATATATTTCTATAAGACAGAAATACACATCTAACACTTCATAAAATAGATCATAATAAAGTTTAATAATCGGTAAAGTACCGTAACAAAGTTTAAGGACGGTTATTGCTCTTGGAGAGTTTCTTTCAATCGCAATAAATATTCAAGAATTGATTTTCCAAACTTCCTTGTTCAATGATAAAATGATAGGATCACTCTCTTACAATTCTACTGAATGATCAGTTTACAGTCTTACAAAATGGTCTTTGGTGTTGAAGTTTTTTTGCACGATTATTTTGTTCATTTTCTAATGTTTTTCGCCTGTGTCTATTTCTTCAAAATTTTTCCTTAATTCTAGAAAATTTTTTATAACTTTATTTAATTATATATTGTTAAAATTATATGGCTATATTTTTAAGCTTTTTCTTTTATATAAAAGAATTATATTGGAATCTAGCAGATATATATCTATACATTATTATTATTATTTGTCTTTGCATTTTTATTCGCATTTATTTTTTATCCGCTGTTATATTATCGTCATCATGTATCACTGGAGACCATTATTTTATATGTATTATATGCGAAAAATATGATCTTTCTGAGATGAAAATCGTAATGTAGCATATGACACCTAAAAAACATGACTTTTTTTGTATTTTGCCGTGATTTATGGCATAACTCGTTTGTCTATGATCTATAATTGGAAATCTATAACTTCAGCTCAGATTTTTCATTTATGACTGCTACGATAATCAATTTTGGTAATTAATTTTTATTTTAAATCTGTCGAGTAGATTTTCTCTATTTTTCCAAATGTATATTTAGCTTCTTGCTCAAGCTGATCTCTCATTTCTTACTTTTTCTTGAAATGAAATAATATTTAATAATAATGCAAAATATACGTTCGTATTTGGTTTTATCGCTGACATTAATAAGGTTTCGCTCGGCTGCTTCCTGATTGATTGTCGCTTTTCAGCTGACTCAGCTGGCTGTGCGTCGTCCGGCTGCTGTGTTTAAGTTAGCCGTCCATTGCTCCGTCTACGTTGGAAGAATCCCTTCTGGAATATGGCGGCTTTTTACTTGAGTTCTGCAATCCTGCTGGCTCGATTTCACAGACAATAGCCTGTGGATGCCACATGCTGTGCACAATGTTGCGCATACGGCAATCATCTGCTCACCTTCGTTGGTTTCAGATTGAATGATTTTATTCGTTCGTTACTACTATGTGGCTGTGCTGTACAATATTTTTTTTTTATTCTTTGTAAATGCTGAAGAAAATGTGTGATATTTTCCGCACTTTGAGTCGCACTTTGATTCTGCTACCAATTTTGTTCAATATCAAGTATTATTATTAAAGTTTAAGGATTAAAGTTTAAGGATCGCTTTACTTGAAAAAGTTTTTCAAAACACTCAATAGTTTGTTTTTTTTCAAATATTTTTATCTATTTGTCAAATATTTTTTTTTTATAGTAAAATGATATAGTGAATATTTTCTTATGACTCTGGCTTGAAAAATTGATTTATAGTCAACGTAATCTCTAATCTTAAAATATTTTACACGAACACATCACATTGCTAATTTATTTCTTATTTGTTCATGATAATTGACTGAATAACAATTACTCAATAACATTTAATTCTTCATGAGATGAGTTACCTGAGGATGCCTCTGAAATAATGAAGCTAATTGTAAGAAGCTTTTTTGGGAAAGGTTGGAAACTCGATTGTTCCCAATTCTATTGTGAGCAAAGGTCGTTTTTCTACGAATTTAGCGTAACGTTTTTCTTGCATTGTGCTTTTATTATGTATTGTTATATGGCCTAGATTTTTTATAGGTTTTTTATTTTGCAATGATTTCGCTTAATCTATTTTTTGTAAATTGATGCAGCCTTGTAAAATTATTGAATAAATTGCAAGAGACGACATCTTTTTTTCTCCAATATCAGACACAGAGTACGAATAAACAAAACGTTGTCCGACACTTGATCGAGTACGGAATATAGAGATTTTAATAGAAAAGTTCAGTTGTCACATTCGAAGTATTTGCTGGAGTATACATAGTGACACATGAAATTGATCAAACATTTTCATAAAAAAACTCTTTCAAAGATTATTATTTCAGATATACTTTTTAGATATAAGCAACAAATAGATAAATTATAAAAAATTGGGTATTCACTCTTTTCTTCTTTCTTTTTGCTACATTAAAAATTTTTTCGAGAAATTGAGCAAATAATTGTATTACCCCTGTCTTTTTATTATTATAATAATTTTATTCTTTTAGGACTGAATTTACATACCTGCTACCGTTTGTAACTATTTACGTTTAATAAAACGTTTTATTTCTCGTAGTTGCGGGACTAGTAGTTGCATTGTCC